TGAAAAAAAAAATCTGGACCTAAAATCCCACACAGAATATAAACTCATCTGTGTTAAGTAATGTGGCCCAACCCTAAAATACTAATGAGGCTGTAATCCGATAGGTAGACTTAAAAATGACTTATTTTTTCTTAAACATCTTCTGCATGTTTTTATGTCTCTGCAGTGAACAGTTTATTTTTATAACTTAGAAATGTAAACAAACTTTTAAATATGGTGATATAAGAGTAGGTATCCAGTCGAATTCCCAGAAAGTGATTGTAATGACTAAAGAGAATAAATGGGGAAGGAAAGAGTAAAATCTGGCAAACCAAATATTCCCCCATTTGGAGCTGTAAAGGCATAGCTAGAGTAGCATCCAGGGAAAGGTGAGGCTTCCCTTCCTTGGAGCCTCCCTTAAAATTCATTTCTGCACAGTATTCTCAATCCTTAATTGTGAGTGACTACTCAGTAAGATACTTCTCCATCCAAGGTTCTTGAAAAAGTGGTTTCACTTCCCCTGCTCTCGTGGCTGAGCTCTGTGTGCTGCATGGGGTCAGGTGGTGAGCACTGAGGCTGGCACTGACTCATCCTATTTGGAGTCACATTGGCCATTAGGGCCAATGGCAGCTGGGGGAGAGCAAGTTCCAGCTTGCTTTGGCTTTTATGAACTAATGTTAATCAATGACCGTGGAGAAATATGTAATCACTGCATTCTCTTTGTGCTTAGTTATTTGCTTGCTATGTGACTGTGACTGAGATAAAGCAAAACATCATTGGCCATACATTTTTTGTGTGGGAAACACATTACAAAGACATTTCAAGATATGCATAGGGAACAGGGTGTCCAGGGCAGTAGCAAAAGTTAGTAGTTAGGCATGTGTAACTGTAGCAAAGTTACAGTCACATGCACAGTGAGGAATAGGGCATGTGTGTCAGCAGCAAATAAATAGGCAGAAACAGCTAAGGCAGTTGCTAGTCAGATCAACACACAGCAGTGTACAGTCACGTGTTCCAAGGCAGGAGGCACGTGTTCCCCATCCTAAGATACATCAACACAGAGAAAAACAGTCCATCTGCACATCTTGCTACAGTGTAACATTTATTGCAACTTTTTCCTCTAACTTTTTCCTTACACTTCTTTGTTTGAATCTCAAAAAATACCTGCAGTAACCAGGAATCAAGGCCACCTTGCTATACTCTAACACCAGTGTCTGTCCCTCCAGGGCCCTCAGTTGTACGTTTGTATTATACCAAGCATTTTGTGCCTGCAATCTGCAGCATTTGCAGAAACCTAAAGGCCCACCCTGCCATGGATGGGATCACCCAGGGCAGGAGATCACAAGATAGAAACCCCATGGACCAAGAATCAGCCTTCTAAACAAATCTTCTTTTACCCTAATTGTCAAATTGTCTGAAAGCAAAAGTCACATTTTCTGACTAGATGCCCAAAACAGTAGGCCAGGGACATTTTAACCTTAATGAACAGAAATTACAGGAATGTGACCTTAAATGGCCTTTTCTCATGTATCTAGAAAAAGATTAGATGCCAAGGTGAACAAAACCAGAATAAAGAAAGTTGACCTGTCCTATAGCAGTTCCATCTCTCTGAAAACCCAGTAGAGACAGCTGGGGTTGCTCCTGGTCCTCACTCCCTCCTCTCCACTCTCCAGTTGAACTGATAAGATAAACTTACACTACTGGGACCTGATCAAACTAAAAAGCTGCTGCACAGCCAAGAACACAGTAAGTAAAGCAAGCAGACAGCCCTCAGAATGGGAGAAGATATTTGCAGGTTATGTCTCCGACAAAGGTTTAATAAACAGAATCCACAGAGAACTCAAACGTATTAGCAAGAAAAGAACAAGTGACTCCATCTCAGGGTGGGCAAGAGACTTGAAGAAAAACTTCTCTGAAGAAGACAGGTGCATGCCTACAGACATATGAAAAATGCTCATCATCCTTAATCATCAGAGACATGCAAATCAAAACTACTTTGAGATATCATCTAACTCCAGTAAGATTAGCCCATATCACAAAAACCCAAACCCAGAGATGCTGGCATGGATGTGGAGAAAAAGGAATACTTCCACATTGCTGGTGGGAATGCAAACTAATACATTCCTTTTGGAAAGATATTTGGAGAACACTTAGAGAACAAAAAATAGACCTGCCATTTGATCCTACAATTCCTCTACTAGGTATATATCCAGAAGACCAAAAATCACATTATAACAAAGATATATGTACCAGAATGTTTATTGTAGCCCAATTCATAATTGCTAAGTTATGAAGAAGCTCTAGTGCCCATCAACCCACGAATGGATCAATAAATTGTGATATATGTACACCATGGAATATTATGCAGCCTTAAAGAAAGATGAAGACTTTACCTCTTACACTTATTTACATGGATGGAGCTGGAACATATTCTTCTTAGCAAAGTATCTCAAGAATGGAAGAAAAAGTATCCAATGTGCTCAGTCTCTAAATCAGTCTATGAAACTAATTTATAGCTTTCTTATGAAAGCTATAACTCATTTATAGCACAAGAAGAAGGGGAAAGAGGAGAGGGAGAGGATGGGAGGGGGATGGGTGGAGGGAAGGTAATTGGTGGGACCACACTTATGGTGCATCTTACAAGGGTACTTGTGAAATTTACTAGGTGTAGAATGTAAATGTCTTAATACAATAACTAAGAAAATGCCATAAAGGCTGTGTTGACCAGTCTGATGAAAGCATTTCAAATTGTATGTAAAACCAGCACATTGTACCCCATGACGGCATTAATGCACACAGCTATCATTTAATAAGAAAAAAAAAGTGCCACCTACCCTGGGCTAGGGGGGTGAGGGGACACAGTTAATACTCATCCAACATCTTCTTCTTGGTTTTGTGGGGGTATAAAACCCTGACTAGTCCTGCACCTTCCTGAATAAACAAATTGAGAGTGTGGGAGGGGAAAGAGCCTGCCACAAGGAAACGAAGGACATGCTTTCAATATTATCTCCAGGAAAGTAAGAATAATTTTAGACATCACCATTGTATGCACTCAAATAAGTTAAGTATCTCTACTTTAAATACTTAAAATAATTTTTGCTTTCCTGATTGACACACACACACACACACACACTTCTCCAGCCAGTAAAAACAAACAAACGAACAAACACATGCTCTAACTGTGCAACCATGTCCTGAATGGAAGAACATTCCTGATAAGTTATTGATTCAAAGAAGAGGAGTTGCTGTATCTTAGGTTTGGTGTGGTCTGTTACAAAAAAAGTGAAACCATATGTGTATATATAGAGGTATTTATATAATAATACTGATAACAACTACCCTTCATAACAACAATAACAAAATAGCTATGGTAAGATAACCCACCAAGAGGGAGGTCATCCCTGTGAAGCTGAATGGAGAGATGTGTGAGTATGTTCTGAGGAGGAAGGACAGTGTCGCTTTTTACTTTATAGACAGGTATGTGGTTTGAATTTTTTCCTCTTGTCATACGTCATCCTTGTTATCTCAAAAACATTTTTAAAAGCAGGTAATAAAACAGGATGCTTAATATGATCATTTTATACAGAGGTGTTTGCTTGTAATGAACAACTTTCAGAACTACAGTCAATGCTCTTATTATTAGCTTTTAGATGAAAATGTGATCTACTGCAATTAATATACTAAAAATAGTTTGAGTATATCGTCTTTGCTCAAGTGTGATTTTGTTAAATAGCAGGTGAACTTAAAAAGTTGCACCCCATTGAAATGACAGGCTTAGGAATACAAAAAAATGCGAAGATGCTTACGGCTTCCAAGCATCGTCCTTTGTTGGGAGCTGTGGCGCCCACATAGGGTATTACAACTTTTTAGCTGATTTCCAAGAACTCGTCTTCCAATACTCCATAATAGTTTACAATCTGCAAATTTTCCAAGCCTACTTTTACAAACAAGTTTCAGTTCTTTTTCAAGGTATTATACAATACTATGTTTATTTTGGTATTTATCTATGTCTTAACTTTTTAACATGTGTGAAAGTGTGCTACCATTTTTATTAGGTTCTGATCTTTTTTTTTTCTTTGTCAGCCATTTTTTATTTTTTGAGTATGTTACCCTAATCCTATTTTTTCAGAAATCCTGTTATTTTATTGCAGTTTTGTGCAGAGTTGTGACTTTTAGAAATGCATACATCACCTTATACCAGAAGTGACTATTCATATACCAAATTATTAATATTATTTCTAGGTAGTAATTTATTGGTTCTGTATATTTTTTTTTAAAAAAACAAATGTCTATTTATAATGTAGTTGTGTATTTAAACATTTCTTAAAGATGAAGTCGTAGCTAAAGGCTGATCGCAGCTATTCCAGGTGAAAGGCTGTGCAATCTCCTCCCACTCACTAGTGACTGACGTAATCAATGAAGTTCCTGCTGGTTTACTTGAAAGTACAATCACACAAACTCTTTCTGGAAAAAAGAGATAAGGCCCCACAGCATCATATTGGCAGCTTCTTCATTCAGGGAGATTATGTAAGCAGTGCATGCCCTTAAACAGATTTGCAAGTTACAGGATTCAGATCCAGAAACAGTGTAGGTGGCAGTAAGCCTGACATTCAATACTTAATTGACTTTCGAGTTATTATTGAATAACGTACCCCTTCCCTTCAACAAATGTGACTCTTTGAAGACACTACAAACTTGAACAGAGTATGAATTTCAAAATGAGGGGGAAAAAGCATTTTTTTAAAATGTGATTTGACTCTTGAACTTCTACCCACATTTCCAGAGTAAATTTGCACCTGTATTACCCCCTTTCTCCCTTTCTGCTTTTCAGGATACACTCATGTTCTTTTTTCATCCCCCTCCCCCCTGTTTGAGTGATCGGTTATGCCAGCTAAAGTCCAACTGCACTGTGCATCTTTGCTTTGGATCTGAGTCCACGCTCCCCTCCCCCACGTGCCCTGCTGCTGGGACGGCTTGCACTGAACTCTGAACTCGTTCTTGATCCTGTGTTTTCCTGCCTCTCCACGTAGAATCTGCAGTTGGCCGTGCTCTCTGCGGAGCTTTGTGTTTCTAGCTGTTCTCTGACAAAGAGCTTGTTCTGTGCTGCACATCTCGTCCTCTTTGTTTGGCCTCTGGCTTCAACCACTGACTCATAAATACTCTCCAGCTGGGAATCAGAAAAGGGCAGAAATGAAGAACCCAGAAGCCCAACAGGATGTCTCGCTTTCCCAGGGAGTTCGCATGATGTTTTACATGATGAAGCCCAATGAAACGTCATTCCAAACTTTAGAAGAGGTGCCTGACTATGTAAAAAAGGTGAGAGTGTATGAGAAGAGGTTACTGCTGCTCTTTTCTTAGTAAGAAGTATGGCTAACATATTTGGGGATTTTGTTCACTTTCATTCTTGAAATTATTAAATGCTAATAAAAATTCAGTTTTTTAAGGCTTGAAGAAAAATTAAATTCCTACTTGAACTTCCATACCATATCCTTAGCCATAGTTACCTATAAATTTCCTCCTTTGAGGGTCACTCCAGAATATGAAAAATCTTTTCTAGACACTATGGCATTGCAAATATAACTGCTGGAGGTTCAGTGTCAAATAGTTACACCACAGCAGTTAAGTTTGTAACAATTTTATTTTAAAATATTTAGCTTGCTCACCACCTCCAGGAAAATGTTTCCTTTTTAATTTGGGAGAGTAGTTCTGCAGAATGAAGATTCTGCAGCTTGGCTGAGTCCAGCTCTGACTTCCTAAGTTTGAACTTGAACCAAGTTTTCTTTGAAACTCTGAAGTGTTCAGAGGCACTTTTCACTTCTGGTTCCTGGCGATGACCGGGAGTGGAAATATCCAGAATTAGAACTTGAATACTGAAGTTCTCCACCCTGTCAAAGTGGTTCCTACAATACTGACTAGTACAGGCCAGAAATAGAGAAATTATGACATCAGAGAGTATGTTCTTAGGACTTCAGCTTAGGAAGCTTCAAAATTCATGATTAGATTCCAAATGAGTTAAACCCATATCTTTTTCAGAATTTTATATTGCTTTTTCTGACTTTTTAAAGAAAAAAATGAGTTTTTAAAGAAAAAAATACTGATAGTCTCATAAGTCATTATCATTTAAAATGCAGTACCAAACCTAATACAATGCTCAGAAATCTATGCGGGGGTCTTAAAATATCTATTGTCATATATAATGAAACAAAATTTAAACAGAAAGAGTAAAAGTTAAATTGTGTCTTAAACAAACGTGTGAATTTACCTTATTTTCTAAAATTCTAACGGACATTGTGCCTACTGTTTAAATTTCATCATTAGAAATGTTTCTGATGGCCCGATGGCTCATGCCTGTAATCCTAGCACTTGGGAGGCTGAGGCAGGTGGGCTGCTTGAACTCATGAGTTCGAGACCAGCCTGAGCAAGAGTGAGACCTCTATCCTTAAAAATAGCTAGGTATTTTTATACCATCTATAGTATTTTTATAGCTAGGTATTTTTATAGCATTTATATAATAGGTGGGCATCTGTAGTCCCAGCTACTTTGGAGGCTGAGGCAAGAGAATCACTTGAGCCCAAGAGTTGTAGGTTGTTGTGAGCTATGATGCCAGAGCACTCTACTGAGGGTGACAAAGTGTGACTCTATTTCAAAAAAAAAAAAAGGAAAAAAGAAAAGAAATATTTCTGCCAATTTTAATATAGAGAACTATATCCTTAAGGAAAACTTCTTGATGTGGGTCTAGCTTAGTCACATGTAAATAATAGACTTCTAATTATTTAACTAATTTTAAATCTGTTTTCTGAATCTAACTCAGAATACTTTCCTCCTAATTTTATAATTTTTCCTCCTAAGTTTCTTGGCACAATTATCATGGTTATATCTATCATTATATTTCATCTTCAAATTGGGTGATAGAATTAGAGCACATATTTAGTGTGTGTCCAAAATAAGTAGTCGTCTTTGCCCAAGGCATAGGAAGTGATCTTCTAGGATAGGTATATACCATTCTGGCTGGGCCTCCCAACTCTAGGCCTCCCATTTCCAAAATGACTAATCAGGAAAAGTGAAAGACTTGCATATGGAGCATAATAGCACCTTCTCTCTGCAATTTCTTTTCCAGGCAACTCCATTTTTCATTTCCTTGATGGTGCTTGAACTGGTCGTCAGCTGGATTCACAGAGGGAAGCCACCAGGTCGTTTGGATGACGCTTTAACTTCAATATCTGCTGGGGTTCTGTCTCGGCTTCCAAAGTGAGTTAGATGGTCAGCAATGCTGAGGGGAAAAACTGAAATTCTTCAAGAATGAGGGGCAAAGGAACCAACCCCTGGTATGGGGAAATTGGTCTATTGCACATATTTCCCCAAAGAATTTAGCTGCTGACATTATTTAAAATTTTGATATTTTTCAACATTGATGTGTTTGCCTTTCTTTTAACAAATTTCCCTAAATGATATTTATCTTGACCACTGAATTTATTGCAACTCCTTTGAATTTTGCACCTGAAATGAGTGCTTCATTTGCCTTATTGCGGTCCCACCACTTACTCTTGGTCTAGTTATCTACTCACAATTTTATTTTGCCTCAGCCAAGTTCACATAGAATAATAGCTCTGTAGAGTTCACTCTCCAGAGTAGGTCACACAATCTCTAAAGTACCACCCTGGTCTCCTAACCAGGGTCCTGTGTCTGGTACTACCCCCATTTATTTGCACCCACATATTTCCATAGCATGAATCTAGTGGAAACCCTCACTGGCCCCATGATGTCCTGAGGATAAGGTTCAAATTCCTTTCCTGAACCACAGAAGTTTTTGTCTCACCCGTCCTGTTTTTGGTCCCTCCACTCTCCTGACCCCTTGTTCTCTTTGTTCCATCAGCCTTTACTGTTTGCCACTGCCCGTATGCCTCAGGCACTTCCCTCTGCCTGGAAATTCAGCCATGGGGCCAACTCAGATTGATTTCTTGGGTCTGAGCATGGAAGTCACACTCTTCAGCAAGCCTTATCTCTTCTCCAGTCGTATGTTAGACACTCTTTCTCTGAGGTCCCATGACATCTTGTGCTTACCTAATACCCAAGCTATCAGCAGCACAACGTTACCCTCTTTTCCTCCCGGCCCTTCCTGCCTTCTAACTTGCATGCTACTTGAGAGCTAGCCACATTTTAGCTCCTATGCCTGGAATATCAGATACATGGTAAATGTTTCAAAATACTAATGTTCTTATAATGTTACCTTGATAAAATTGGCCGAGGAATAGGTCAAATAATAGTAAACAATAAATAACATACTGAGATTTTTTTCTTTTTTTAGAAAAAGTAGATTATAATGTACAAGAGGAAAGATCAATAAATGGAAGTACATGAGGATTTAGGAAGAGGTGGAGAGGGAGGGGAGATTCCCTTAGAAGTACGTGCTGTGGGCTGTTGCCTAATATTCTCATTCCTGCTTCCCGCCCATCCCTTCTTATCCTATTTTAAGAGCTTTACTTCTGACCAGTGCTCATTGCTTTGGAATGTTTCTATGAACCACCCAGTGGGAAACTAAGGTGGATTTTTAAAAAATGACAGTTAAAAAAAGTTAAAGATATCTGAAAAAGGTGAAATAATTTCATTTAATTGCACCCAGTAGTTTAGATAGGAAGGAAACGTACAAGTAAACTTTTTTTCAGTGACTGTTACTCTGGCAAAGTCACATCCCTAGGAATACAGTAGATACAGTAGTGCTAATAATGACGACTCTGAAAACCTACTGGTGGTTTTGAATATTGCAGTCAGAATCAGAGGGGGTTAATGTCCCAGGCTATTCGCAGCTAATTCCAAGATTATCCAAAAGAGAATTCAAAATTATAGATAATTTCCTCTATTCTTGTGTCCTCCTTAAACAGAAATAAACAGTAACTGCATCCAACATACTCCAGAGATGTGTAGATTTGATGGAGGTATAGAAAAATACCCAGTTTGTCACTGTAGCTCATTCTGAGAAAGTTAGGGGTACAGGTTTATAGAAATCAGATACTAGATAAACTGTAAAAAATCACCTGATAGCTAAGAATTGTCCTGCAGGTACCATTACAGGTCATATATTTCACTGCATTGGAATGAATTTATTAAGAAATCAGGGAGGCAGCAAGTTGAAGAAATAGTCCAGCATTTCTTTTGCTTTTTAAAATTTGACTTTGGTTACCGATGTAATTAAATTGTTCTCTTATCATAACACTGAGGACACCGTAGGTGCTAGAAATCCAAACCATGTCCTTAGTACAACATTTCTGCTCAGTCCTGTTATCTTAAAATGTTACAGATTTGTAACAGGAAAACAAAAATCAAATATATATATTTGAAAAAAAAACCACCCCAAGATTGAGGAGGTGGGGATGGAGGAGGGGATGGGGAGAGGGGAGAGAGAGAGAGAGAGAGAGAGAAACCAAAGCAAATCTGTCCTTTAGGGATAGAACATGCAGTTCTTTTCTTTCACCCACTACTCATAACACTCCTTAAACTAACACAAACTGACTCTGATGCCCTTTGAGAGCAAGGTAAAAGGTTATGAACTTGAATTTGGAGAATATGTTTCTATAGTGACTTTTAATGAGAAAAACAAATCTCTTCTTTTTTTTTCCTAGTAGGTGTGAAGCCCAATTCTAAATTATCAAATGTGGATTATTTTAAAGATTTGCAAGACATTCCACATTTCACAGCCTAACCGTTGTCTGAAAAATCCCAGGAAAACATACTATGTGAAAATCACATTTAAAAATATTTTATGTTGTTGCTATTAAAAAACACCCTCCAAAACAGAAAAACGAAAGCGTAGGTATAAACAGAAAGCTGAGCCTCAGGATCCACTCCACTCAGTCCTCTTTCAGCAAAAAAACGAGAAGGGGAATTTGACATCCACTCTGAAAACAATACTTCAGTGGAAGCCGCAGCATCCCGGGGAATCCCTGTGCAAATCATTAACAGCTGAGGGTTAGATTAACACGGCATTGGTCGGATCCTCTCCCAGGGACTAATTTCGTTTTCTACACTAGCAACAGGAGCTCGCCCCGTCCTTGAAAGAGGTGATTTCAAGAAAAATGGTACTACTATACCTTTTGCGATTCCATTTGTGAAGAATTATGCTTTGGATAATAATTCCAAATAGGCATGTGGTCTCTGACAAAGAAGTTGTGGAAATCAAAGCGAACATGTTTTTCCACTTCACCGTTCATGTAATGGAAATGTTGTACGCATACTTTCAGGAAAAACAATGTTTCTTTGAGGTTTTCCATCTCACATTCCGTAAAGTTTGAAGTTATCTTACAGACTGACAGCAGCATCCTTACTGATAGGAAGCTACCCTGTGCATCTTTCAAATCTTTAAGGGACCATATGAATGACAGACAAGATTATGTTTTGTTTACAAGTCTGTTGGACAGACCAAGATCTGCAAAAATAGTCCATCTGTCCTATGAACCAAATTCTGGGCAGGACCGCATCTGTTTCGTTCTTTTGAAATCCAGTAAGCAGATTTCCTAGTCAGCAATCAGTCCCGAAGTTATAAACAGAATATCTCTCTATCGTAAACACAGCAGGCCTTATGCAGGTAATGTGCCTTTTTATTGATTACTTACATGTGTGATTATAAAAAATAAACTTGATTTTCAATATACTTACTAAATCTATTTTTTTAAGAAAGTCCATCCAAAACTTGTGAAGTATCTTGCTACTGACTTAAATGTTAACGAGTGAAAAAATAATCACATTCTTTTTTCCTGCTTGTTTAAGCAGAACTCAATTTTCAATCCTTCATTAGAAAACCGAGACCTCAATTTGTTACTTCCTTCCAATGTTTCTGCTTCCATAAATTGCATCCTCCCCAGAGGAGGTTCATTCCCGATATAAATATCTACAGTATGTTTGTTTTTAATGGGTTCATTTATTCTGTTGAAACAGCAGATTATAAATCAAATTGCAGAAGGTTGGAGGGATAATTTAGGTAGGTAAATTTTCAAATAAAGTTGAGGACACTCCACGTTTATGGGTTACTGCCAATTTTACCGTGGAACTAGCTCCTCAATATTCAGCCGTACACATGTACACTTTTACCGGCCATGCCTGCCATGGAATTTTCCACTCCTGACAAGAAAGTTTCATTTTCCAAAAAAAGAAAAAATAAATAAAACCGAAATTAAAGAAGAGGAAATTAAATTTCTTTGCAATCCTTTGACTCCTTGGTGTGGGGCTAGAGAATAAAAGAAAATTGTATACCGGGTTTTTATACTAGACGTTAGCAGGAGAGGCAAGCTGCCTTTGGCAGTATCAGGCATCTGACAAACAAAGGCATATGGCTATGGAGGATGACTTTAATAAGCAGTTGTCCTTATTTAAAATAAGAGATAAGTGCATCTGTGCAATGTTATTAATTATCCTTTATTATTAATACTGAACATTTTATGGACATTAAATTAAAATGAAATTTTAAACTCCTTATATAAGAAAAATAAATGCTACATACCTGTTGGTTTGTTAATCATATTCGGGGGAGGTTGCCTCATTTTCTCTTAACGTTTGCCCTAGAAACTTTATAAATAGACGCCGTCGTTGTTATTCATTGTGTAGCTACAGAAACCCTTTCTCGACTACCTTGCCTAATGCATGTATTTTGAAGAGTAACGTATTACTCTTAGTTAGTAGAGAAATACATTTCCCTTCAAAGGAAAGAACGTGACCAATTTGTTTCTTCCAAATCTAATCCATTGTCTTTATAAAAGTTTATAGTTTTATGGTTGTTGTAAAAAGAAATTAAATAGAGTGTTTTATAAAGGTAATGCATGTCATAGTGAGAATTAGCAATCTATGTGTTATCAGTTTGCAGAAAATAGAACTTGTATTATCTGTCTTATTACTGAGCAAAAATCAATATTCCACTAGATGGAGCAAAAGTGGCAGCAGCTTTACAGATGGGCAGTGAAAGCTCCTGGGTCAGGTTGAACAGACTTCGAAATAAATAAGTAACAAGATTTTTCGGAAAAGTCCATATATATATATACATATATATACACGCACGCACACACATACATACATATATAATCTAATATCTGTATTTATTTGTAACTTATCGGAATTTAAAGAATATTTTTAGTGGCCTCATTTAAATAGTGATTTCTTTTCCAGCTTTTTACAGGACTATTAGAAATAAAAATCTAATTTTTTCTTCAATTTTGAGTAATCTGGACAAATCAGATGGTACTGACAACTATAATGACCGTTATGTTATAATAGGCAGGTACCTGGGAGTACGGATACACGAGTGTATTTACTCTGAAATGTTAGCTGTTTTCAATGAGAGCATTACACACAGTTTCACTTCCATTCTTAATGATAAGAACATAAGAGTATATAATTTTAGGGTCCATTCAGCCTAATGCTTTCACGTCTTAACTTAGCCTTGAGATACTGCAGGACTAACTCTTGTTAGTGTATACATTCAGGCTGAGATGACTTTGAAAAGTAATTAGCTCACAATTCTAAATCCCCAAATAATATTTACAATATTTATAATATTTTCTTAATTTTTTAAAAATCTGAACGTTATAACTGAACTTCACTTTTTTGAAATATTCAGATTCAATACAGAATAACAATGTAGTACTTTACAAGTTTCTTACGGCACTCAATATAGGCAGGACAAATTTCTAGTGATAAGAAAAATGTTACGTAAAACACATAAAGAATCATTTTACTGGTGGGAGAAATATGTTACTTTTCTTTTGGCAGAAGGTATTCTTCAGACCCAAGAGAAAACCACATTTGGGGGAATTTATAAGGAAAACAAGACAATGAAAGAATGGCCTCTCTGTAGGGGTTGCTGATTAGAGGATTCTAATGTCTCTTTGTATTTAGATCATTTTCTTGGTTTTGCATCAAACTGAATGCATAAAAGGGATCTGGTATTTGGCAATTCCAAGGCCCTGTGACACACAACATTCCATCTTCACCTGATAAAGTAAGCTCCCTCTATACAGACCTATTACATATGCCTCTTCCCACAGGATGGGGTTTAGAGAGTTCAAGTTTGAATTCCAGAGAATAGAGTCATATGCTGGGGCTGTGGGGTGCAAGGGCGCAGGCTGGGGAGAGAAGGAGGAAGGAGTTTTGCTTTATGATTCAAAGTCTGGTGGGAACAGTTTTGGAAATGTAGGTGCTATTTCCTGCAATCAAGGGCTTCGCAGAGATTGATAATCATTTCCCAGCTGTATCACTGTGGCGAATTGTTTTTAGCTGTGGGCACTCCATGGCTATTCTTTCACAGAATAATAGAAGAGGATCATATTCATCTTGCTGATAGAAAGCGGGGAATGTAACTCCCACAGCTACTCCCCTCTTTCCCTTTGCCTTCAGGAAAGCTTGGCTTCAAGCTAAGTGTGAAAACACAAAACCCCGCTGTATGTCAGGCATATTTCAGCTCTATTTGTGTCAACCTTAATAAGTCAGTTGACCGAGTAATAAATTGGGTGTCTGCTCAAGACCTGGCACCTGTACAGGAAATAAAAAAAGGATTTCAATTGCAGTCAGGCTCCTTTGGTCTTACAAATGGAAGTTTTTCAGGAAACCTCTTTCCTTTATAAAGGTCTTAATATCTTAATGCCTATTTCTATTGTTACTGGAACTGACAAGGAAGATAGTAATTTTTCAAAAAGACCTCAAACTGATGGAACGTTTACAAGGCAAGTGATGATGTTTCCCTTGTTCAACAATATGCCCTTGTATCTTGGGCTATGCCTGGCACTTAGTAGGCTCTGAATATACATTTGTTGAATGATTTATTGAATTCATGGATCTGCTTTAGTTACCTTGTACTAAAACTTGCTCATCTAAGGAGCTATAGACTATTTCAATCTTTCTGCAAAATTTTCTGCTTTGATTTTTACTTTGGGATCAGTTGTTTTAAGGCAGTAGTTATCCATGGGTGAAAATTTGCTTTCCAGGAAACATTTGACAATGTCTGGGGACATTTATGGTTGTCCTTGTGGGGGTAGAAAGGACTGCTACTGAAACTAGTAGAGAGAGCAGGGATGCTGCTTTCCTCTCTAGAACACGGAAGAAAAGCCCTCAGGTTCCCTCTAGTGCCAATAGTGCTAAGGTTAAGGAATCCTGTTTCAGAGAAATTAGGTTGAACCATATGAAATTGACCTTATTCACCATTTTTTAAACTAAAACGTGCATTTACTAATGGACAATAGAAAGCGATTTTAAGATTCCAGAGACTGAGTTCATGATTGCACAGAACAGCTTCCTACAACAAAGAATTAGGCATCCAAATGTTGATAGTGGCCCTGTTGAGAAGCCCTACCTAGTCTGATCATGTAAAAGTTACCAACAGGGCTAACGAGCTTTCAAATAAAATGTGTTCTAACCCCCTACCTTGACTAATATACCTTTGATAAAACTTGGAAGACAGGTTTTAAAACACCAGTTCTTCTATTATTTGAATTTCTAAAACACTGTGGAAGCCCCTGGTTCTTGGCCCATTCTGCTATGGGAGCTACCCGGTACACCTGTGTATGGACATCCCAGCTCTTCCTACGTGTCCCAGATCAGCCAAACGTGGCCACCTTGTCAGGTCCAGGAGTTTGCACACCTGCAGAGGTCTGCCCCCAGGAGAACTGGCCCAGGAAAGAGGCCCACGCAAACCCTGCAAGCCAGGCATGGGGCCACTTTCCAGGGGATTCTGACACATGCAGAGAATGAACGTCTCGGGTTGGGATTGTGGTAAGGGTCCAGGATGATCAATTACTTTGGTCAAGGGCCTGCACTGAGGGGCAAAACTGCTTCTTCCAGCCATGTAATCTCAAACTGAAAATTGAGTTTTCAGATGGGGTGAAGTGTAGTCCCACTCAAAACTGTAAGCATTTGGCATTTCTATGAGTTACATATTAATATATGACTGATGATGTGAGATAACCTATTGTTTCATTCTATAGGTTAAATGAAAAAAGCTTGAAGCATTTAAAATATAAGATTTTAAATGTTATTAAATCTCAAGTAAAGTCATATGATAATTAAATTTGAAAATAAAGTTAATGGTCCAGATCATTAAGAGATCTAGTAATATACTAATTCATAGAAAGAGACTCTATAAAGTAAAATACTGTTACAATGATGAATTTGAATGATACACTAATACTAGCTGCTCCCTCAACTTTTAAAAATTTTTTCTTTATTTAGTTCTTGAGACAGTGTCTCACTCTCTTTCCTGGGCTGGAGCACAGTGGCAAAATCATGGCTTTCTGCAGGCTCCAACTCCTGGGCTCAAGCAATCCTCTTGCCTCAGCATCCTTGAATAGCTAGGATTACAGGCAGTAGATACTGTGCCTGGTTAATTATTAAAACATCTATATTACAGACATAGGATCTCAATTTATTTTTCAGGGTGGTCTCCAACTCCTGGCCTCCAGCAATCTTCACACTGTGGGCTCCCAAAGTCCTGGAATTATGGGCATAAGCTACCACATACGGCTTTAAACTTTACTGAAAAATATTGAAATTAGAATATTAAAAAATTTCCTCAAAAGCTCAGTGCCTGCAGCACAGTGGTTACGGTGCCAGCCACATACACCAAGGGTGACCCAGGCCAACTAAATAACTGCAACAAAAAAATAGCTGGGCATTGTGGTGGGCACCTGTAGTCCCAGCTACTTGGGAGGCAGAGGTAAGAGAATCACTTACGCCCAAGAGTTGGAGGTTGCTGTGAGCTGTGAAGCCACAGCACTCTACCAAGGGCAATGCAGTAAGACTGTCTCAAAAAATTTAAAAAAAAATTTCCTCAGAATGTGGATCTCCAAACATGTTGGTGACTTATAATTAAATCTTTACTAGGTAAAATGATCAATTCATTATATATTTAATAAAATAACAAAAAGCCAACATAATCAAGTATATAAAAGTGATAAAATGAACAATTATCTTGAATCTAACCTTAAATTTGATGACAGAAAACTTAAAAGAAAAAATACACTTCACAATGCTGAAGAATATTATGTATGTTTCTGAAAATTATATTTTCTGCTTGACAGAATAGGCAGAAAAACATATTGGACATACTCTAGTATCTAGGTTTTTAAAACAATTGTTTATTTTATTTTAACTAGGTTCATAGGCCTTATTGCTAGGAGAAGATGTTTTTCCTAATATGTTGAAATCTCTATAATCTTTATGAGAAATATTGAAATGATATGAGAATCCAATATATAATCATAAGTACATTTAAAAATCACTAAAGAGGTGTGTATACTTGTGGAAGAGAACCCCCTCCCTCCCCTGCCACAAAGAAGGAAAAACAGAAGAAAGAGAACAGAATTGGACAGAAGCAACTTCAATCTAAGGACAAATTTTATTATGTTAACGTATTTGAAATCAGTAGGCAACTAGTATGTCATTTTAAAAAATATGAAATTTGTATAATAACATTTTCCCTTGTAATACTTCATTAAGGTTTGAGAATGACAATCATAGAAAACAAGTTGTAGTTTTGTCAGATGTGTAGGGTATAGGTTCCATGAAAACTATTTTAAGAGACAAAAATTAAAGGAATGGCTTCCTAAATTCCATGAAATTGAAAGTACAAACAGCTGGTATCCATGAAACCTGTGAAACAAAGGAAAATATAATACAAATAATTTTGATACCAAGGAAGCAAAGCCTTCAGAAAAGAATATTGTAGAATTAAGAAATAAAGTAAAAGGGAAAGAGTTTCATTTTGCATAGGAATGCATGAATTTCTAAATGTTGTATGAATTGTGTAGTATAACTTTGTATCTAAAATGTAGTATAATTATTGTTTTTGAATTTTGTTTTCCAGTCTGTTTTTCAGGAGCATTGAACTGACCACTTACATTTATGTCTGGGAGAACTACAGGCTCTTCGACTGGCCTTGGGATTCTCCATGGACTTGGTATTTGGCCTTCTTAGGAGTTGACTTTGGCTACTACTGGTTCCATCGCATGGCCCATGGTAAGTTGCAAATGCAGAAATTTTATTAATTTATGTTGAACTGTATTTGCCACACGGTAGGTAATTAGTAAATACTTATTGGATGCATGAATAAATGAGTAAAATAGTGTATTTTACAGGATATAAACAATAATGAAAGTTTATTTTGAAATTTAAGTGGAAAAGCCCCATTTTTCAAAAAAGATGTGAAACTATTAAAAGTACATATTTCTCACCTCTTCTAATTAAAAAATGTTCAGAAATTGATAGTGATAGCATTGCCTTACATTGTTCCCATGTGACATGAGTCTATAGACACGATATCAAACCTCACATCAAAATTATCAAGGGTCGTTTGGCAGAGTTCTGTAACAACATGGGTTCCATTGTAGATGACTTGGGCCATCCAGAAAGCTTGATTCAATTTCTTCACATTACTTCCACAATACAAATGAAAATGCAAAGCAAGGCTGACTCTAATGCACTTCACTGTTACCACAGTTTTGCAAAATTTCTCATCTAATGCAAAGCCCTGTTAGTGCACTAGTTCACTGAATGGCCTTTTGGGGATTCTTGGCTGTACCTTCCAAAAAATGTTTTGTTATAGAAAAGGAAATAGAAGAGTAGGGTGTGGGTCTAGGTCTCAACTTCTGCAGGGATTGAAGAGTGGCTGTAGAGCTAAGGTAAGCAAGTAGTCTCTGAGGAGAAATAAAGTTTGCCAGAGTATCTCCAAAGAGAAGTGGGGGAAAGTACTAATTTTGAAAAAGTATTGAAGAACAGAACTCAGGAATTCAGTGGGTGGTTGGGCTGAGTGGGTGGGGAGGAAGAAAGGAAAAGGAAGAGACCTGGAATAATAATAAAAAGTAGATGGTAGATGGAAAGAAGAGACCTGAGAACAGAGTGAATAACTGAGCTATGTGTGTAGGAGGATTTGGGACCAGATATCGTTCCCAAGCCAGGATGAAGGAAATAGGAGCAGCGTGGACAAGTGTTATGCTTAAATCTGCTGAACTTTAAATATATCATTATTTTTGCTAAGCGCCTTAAACATAGGAATTTAATGAAACTATAGGGAGTGATAATTTATTAAAATAATTTGAAGTGAATTTATATAGTAGAACAAGAGTATTTATTTTATGTGTGATAACTTTTGTTTTTGAACATAAGAATTCAGGTCCTGACATCATTTCCTTGAATATCCATGGAAAAGGATACTCCCAAATTAAACATGATTTAGATAAAATATGATCTATGTAGTAAAATATTTATACTTTATTTCAAAGTCATAGTTTTTTCCTTAAAATCATTGGCAATCTTTCTCATTTGCTATGCAACAGAATTGTACTGCAGAAATCATTTACATTGTACTGTCTTACTGACTTTCAGGAAACTTCTAATAGCACACTTTCCAATACAGATGTGTTTGTTTGGGAAATCTGCAAATTTGCTTAATCTTTGAAAGCCCATTAGAACAGGAAACAAAGCACCAACAAAATATTACTAAATATAAAAGTCTTAAAAATATGTTGATTGTTAAGTGCTCTCAGTTAAGGAAGAGCAATAAAATAAAATAACATATTAAAAAAGCGGAATCAAGGCTATTTAAAGTATGCTCCCCATTAGAAAATTTTGAACTGGATCCAGTGATGGAGGCAGGCATTAAAAAAATTTGAAAACCTTCTGGAAAAACACTCACAACCTTCAGGCTATGGAGCCCAATTGGAAGTTCAAAGACTTTTGACTTGTAATGAAAAGCTAGTAAGGAAAAAATAATGTTGTGAAATGTGTCAACCTTCAATATGATAGCTGAGTTCTAAATATTACATGTAAATAATATTAGAAAATATTGGAAATATTTAGAGTTTTTCAAAGTTCAAATACATAGAGTTAAGAAAAATGTATAATGTCAAATTTCCTGACCCTCTTGGATTATAAAACTGAATATTACATGTAAATAATATTATAAAATATTGGAAATATTTAGAGTTTTTCGAAGTTCAAATGCATAGAGTTAAGAAAAACGTATAATGTTATAATGTCAAATTTCTTGACCCTCTTGGATTACACAACTAAAAAACTGGTCAAATTTATTTAACTGAAAAATTTCTATAATTTCAAAACCTAAATGTCATCTTAAAAATATTGTAAGCTGAAACCCCTGCTTTTTCTCCTTGATGTGTTACTTTTTTTTCACTACTCTTAATACAATGAAATAACAAACACATATTTCATATATGTTAACAGGTTAAATGTTGCGAGCTTTGAAGAAGCAATACATTGGTATCTGAAATTTTGTTTTTCCCTGCATTTAAATTGCTCCTTAAGTAACGCAAATCACTGTTAGGTTTGCTGTTGTTGTTGTCATCGCTGGTATTAGTTTGTACTGAATGCGGGCAATATTTGTTCACATTTGGTAAATGTTTTGCATCAGTGGGGAACAGTTTATGCTTAAAAATTTGAATTCCATTTCTCTCACTATGCAAAATAAATCAGAGGACTGTTTAAGTTACATATGCACGTTCTTTATATTTTATTTCTTTTCTTCTTAAATGACAAAGAAATTGTTAAACATTGTCCACTGACACTAATCAAGGGTAGCACGATAATTTCTGTGGAAGATTTTGATGACATTAGAAATATAAGATGATAAAATTAAATAGCTCTTAAATTAAAAGTAGCTTCTTGCAGCTCTTCCTCTGTTACCAAATGGTGCATTGGTTTTCTCTGCACTGCCTATTTGTCTTACTGAACCTGTAAGAAAACAAGTGAAGAGCTCTCTTAAGGTAACGTTTAAGGGATGAATGGTTATTGGGTGGGAGGAGCACAAGTGAGGATCCGAGTGCTGGTAATAATCTATTAATTTGTCTTGGGTGGTGTTTGCATGAATATATATATTTGTAAACATTTATTGAGTTGTAAACTTAAGATTTATGCAAGTTATCTCTATATATTTTTAGTAAAATTAAAATTGATGAATAATGCCAGCCAGATGATTTCTTAGAAAATAATTCTAAGTCAGAATGATGCAGTAGGTAACCTAATTGAGAAATAGGATGAGAGATTTGTGACTGTCAGCACCAACATGTGACCTTCAATAGTTTCTACCTGTATCAGTTTCCACCACTGAGATGGAAAGTTCCAGCGTGCCCGTTATTGATTTATTGCTTCTCTTCTCTAAATCTAGCCTTCTTGCCATTCCTGAGTCATCAGAGCTGCACCCTGTAGACATTTTTCTCTTGACAGCTGACTTAATGTTAAGTTTTGCCAATTTAAGGGACTGCAGGGACACTGTGAAGCCAGAACATAAGAAAAACACTTTGCTTTCATTTTCCAGAAATGCTATTTTCTGTCTGGCACTTAGCAGCCTGGTACGAAAGGGACCTGCTATGGGTCACCTCCTGGCTCAGCTGTAGCCTACACCCACTGGCAAGATTCTTTGCTATTCAGGGGGCCACAGCAAAAAATTAAAACTGCAGCGACCCACACCCACTGGGAGCTGGGTACCTTAGCAAGCCTGTCTGTTAGCCTATTAGCAGAATTCTGGTGGTAGCAACACCGTCTTCAGAGACGTCTGGGTCTTAGACTTGTTTGTGGGGGGCATATGAGTATGTAGGGCTCTTCTAAATTTATAAGTACCTGCCTTATTTTCTCTGCCTCAGCTCTGTAGTCATTAACTGCATTTGACTACATCTGTACTACCCCTCTGCTACTCCATTACCTGTGTTAGTAGTTACCTTCCTTTTTACTAGTTAATAACTCTTCATATTAACTTTTCCTCATTCAAATTACTAGTGTCGTTTCTTCTCCCAACTGGAGCCTGCCTGATAAAGGCGGCCTCCCCAGATATAAAATAGGATAAGAAGTTTCATCATTCTGAGGGATTGGTTATTCATTTATTTTACAACACAATTTAGTTCAGTCCTGAAACAAGGAACTGCCTCTAAAATTGTTGTAAGAAGCCATCTATATACCCCCTCCAATTCTTTTGCATTCAAGTAAACTGTGTAATTCATTTTTATTCAACTCTATAAATCTATAGAATCCATAAAGTGACCACAATTTTTGTGTAATTTATCCCAAGCTTGTACTCCCACAACTTCGTTGTGACTAAGTGAACTTCTGTATATGACTTAAACTGCAAGTTCTGCATTTATCTCTGTCCATTCGTAGGGGTTACATTTTGATTATCTTTATGTTAATTATTGTTTAAACAAAGAAGTTAAAGAAGATGCACTGACTAGACATTATTTTAGCTATTGATGCCAAGATGGTGCTCCACATGGAAGAATAGATTACTAAAATTCTGATACTATTGTGTGTCTTTTTGTGGGGGGGGCAGGGCTGGGTTTGAACCGACCACCATATGGGGCTGGCGCCATACTCCTTTGAGCCACAGGCACCACCCTGTGTGACTCTTAATGAAGATACTAATATTAGAATCTACCTAAGATTTTTGTAACTCCTTGCTATATATTATGACTCTTTATTTAAAAACGCATCTTGATTACTCTCGTTTGATCTTAAAGTCCACCTGCATCTGTCTGTATTATGACTATTCTTCTTTTCCTTCCCCATGATCCCTTAATTTCGACATTTCTAGATCTCTGAATATGTTGAAGTGGTGTGAATAAAAACCAAATGGGATTCTACTAGGAATGTATATTTCTGAAACGATAATGCTAGTGATAGCAATATAAACAAGTAAAAGCATCACTGAGAGTCATTGGAGAAGCAACAGCTAAATGGTAAAAACAGATTCGGGAGCAGGTTTCTTGAGTTCACCCTCTGTAGGTCTTAGTTTTTTCATCTATAAAATGGAAGTAATAATAAGAGCATACATTTCAGGATTTTGATAAAGCTCAAGTGAGTTCAACTTAGGAAAATCATAGGTTCATAGTTAATACTATTTAAATATGCCTATTATGATTGAATAAATGTTTTCCATATTGCTAGGTACAAGACTATATACTCTATATTATAACACATAATACATACAGTGGCCATCAGTTTCATGTACAATT